TAGCATGGAAGAGTTACAGGATGTTCAGGACTACCTTCACTTTCAGTACGCCTCCCATTTACGCGATTTGACCCTTGCCAATGGAGACAATACCGGGGAGACCCATCGCCGGAAAGCGACCAGCAAGACATTCTTTGAGCGCGTCCGGAACGGTAAGGCGTACGGCCTCGTCCGCGCATTCGGCATCACGGCCGATGCCTTCGCCCAGAATGCCCTCAAGGAAGGCCGGCGGCAATACACCGAGGATCCCGCCGAACGCCCGGAAGAGCTGGCAGATTCCTTTGTGGATAACGACTTCTCGAACTCCTCCCATGTGGTCAAGGCCGCCAAGACCATGTTCGCCGAGGAGATTGTCATGAGTCCAAAGATGCGCAAGGTAGTCAGGCAGGCGTATTATATGAGCGGTGTAGTGGACTGCTTCCGGACAGAGAAGGGCCTGCGGCGCATTGATGAGCAGCATCCTTACTACGAATTCAAGTATCTCCGAAACCAACAACTGAGCGACATTGCCCGCCGGCCGGAGATGTACCTGCGCATGCTCAAGGCCGAAGAAGAGGGTCTGGTCGATGTCAAGGTTCGCTTTGAGAACTTTGACCACTTCCGGCAACGTCTATACGCAGATATTGAATCCGATAATTACAGCGAGCTGGCGGACGTATGGAATCGGACTCGACGCGACGTCTTAGATCTAGCGCTGGGCAAGTTGGAGCGGTTGATCAATCGCAGTGTGAAGGAGAACCTCCGTCAAGAGTGTGAGAACTCTGTGGCCAAGGAGTGCCGTGAAACCTTCTCATATCGGCTGGACCAGGCTCCTTACAAGCCCAAGGGAATGGTTCTGGGCACCGTGCCCCGCGTGCTGACCCTGTCTACCGGCTCCGGTGTGGTGGGACGGGAGCCCATTCACTGGGCCTACGTCGAAGAAGACGGTCGGGTGCTGGAGAACGGAAAGTTCGTGGATCTTTCGGTTGGAGACCGTGAGCGCAGTGTAGCCGATGGCAAAGATGTCGAAGCCTTTATCAGCCTGGTCAGTCGTCGCCGTCCGGATGTCATTGGTGTCTCCGGCAACACACCGGAAACGCGCCGCCTGTACAAGCTGTTGACCGAGCTGGTGGACAAGCGCAATCTTTGTGGCGCACCTTACACTGATGACCGGGACGAGACAGCCACTGACCCCTTGGAAGTGGTTATTGTCAACGACGAAGTGGCCCGCCTCTATCAACACAGTGAGCGCGCGAAGAAGGATCACCCCAGTTTCGGTCCCCTGACCCATTACTGCGTCGCTCTGGCCAAGTATTTGCAAAGTCCGCTCAAGGAATACGCCTCGCTCGGCCGTGACATTGTGTCAATCCAGTTCAAGCCTGGCCAGCAGCTGATCTCGCAAGACTTGCTGTTGAAGCAGTTGGAGACGGCACTGGTCGATATGGTCAACCTGGTGGGCGTTGACCTCAACGAAGCGGTGACGGATCCGGCAACAGCTAACTTGCTGCCCTACGTCTGTGGCTTGGGTCCGCGCAAGGCCGCCCATTTGTTGAAAATCGTAAACATGAACGGCGGCGTGGTGAATAACCGGGTCGAACTGTTGGGCGTGAATGCGCAATATCCAGCCATGGGCGTCAAGGTTTGGAACAACTGCGCCAGTTTCCTGTACATCGACTTTGAGAATGCCGATCCCGATGCCGATCCCCTTGATAACACTCGTGTGCATCCGGAAGATTATGACATTGCACGCAAGATGGCGGCCGATGCATTGGAGCTGGACGAGGAAGATATCAAGGCAGAAACCGACGAGAACGGTCCCGGAGCGATCGTGCGCAAGCTCTTCCGTGAGGAAGCGCAGGATCGTGTGAACGACCTGATCCTGGAGGAATATGCGGAGCAGTTAGAAAAGAACTTGAATCAGCGCAAGCGGGCGACGCTCGAAACGATTCGCGCCGAGTTACAGCAACCGTACGAAGAATTGCGGAAACAATACGTCTTCCTCAGCACTGATGATATTTTTACCATGCTGACGGGCGAGACAACCGAGACGCTTGCAGAGGGGATGGTGGTGCCTATTTCGATCAAGCGGGTGACCGATGACCACATTGACGGCAAGCTGGACTGCGGTATCGATGCGCTGGTGCCGGAATCGGAGCTGACTGATCGCTACGACATTCCTGTGCGAGCCCTGTATCAGCCGCATCAAACAGTGTCGGCGAAGATTTTGTTCCTGAACCGAAAGACATTCTCGTGTAATGTGTCGCTGCGCGAGGAACAGGTCAGCCGGCCGTCCCATCGGACACCGGGCGATCGGCTGCAGGGCGAATGGGACGATCGACAAGAGCATGAGGACCGAGAGGCTATGCAGGAGACGACTCAGAGTGGCGGCCGAACGATGCGTGTCATCAAGCATCCGTTGTTCCGGCCGTTCAATTCGACGCAGGCTGAGGAGTTCTTGGGATCTCAGGGCCGAGGTGACGTGGTTATTCGGCCCTCGTCCAAAGGTCCAGACCATCTGGCCGTTACATGGAAGGTGGCGGATGGTGTTTTCCAGCACATCGATGTTCTCGAACTGGATAAGGAGAACGAGTTCTCAGTGGGCCGAACGTTGAAGGTGGGCGGTCGCTACACGTACAGTGATCTGGACGACTTGATCTTCAACCATGTCAAGGCAATGGCTAAGAAGGTGGACGAGATGATGCTGCATGAAAAGTATCAGGACGGCACTCGGGATGCTACTTGTAAGTTTTACTGTCTTTTGTGCCTGTTCTCTTTCGTCTTGCTAACGCTCCCCTCCGCAGACTCCTGGCTGGAGACTTACACCAAGGCCAATCCGCGCCGGTCGGCCTACGCGTTCTGTCTAGACCCCAAGCATGCAGGCTACTTCTTCCTGTGCTTCAAGGCGGGTGAGAATGCTTCGACGCACAGCTGGCCAGTGAAGGTGATCCCTCAGGGATATGAGTTGCAGCGCAACCCTTATCCCGACATGCGGGCATTGTGCAATGGCTTCAAGCTGCTGTTTACCAACATGCAGGCGGGCAGGCGTCGTTAAGGAGAGGAGGACTTCTCTTGTGTATACTTGTGTAATATCTGGGTTGGTAACTGCTTGGAAGGAAGGAAGTTAGGGAGGATGGATTGTCGCTTCTTCTTCTTCTTCTTCTTCTTCTTCTTCTTCTTCTTCTTCTTCTTCTTCTTCTTCTTCTTCATCTCCCTCGTCGTCTTCACACGTTTCTATTCTGATTCTCCCATTCTCATGTAATTCATTCTGGCTTCCCTTGGCATTGATTCCATTCTGTCGTATGATTCTTCTATTGTTGTCCTTGCATCAGGTTGCGGGAATGCATCATTGGTTTACTTACTTCTTGTGCTACTATGGGAATCTATACAATACCGGGATGTGTCTCGGAGTAGCTCTTAACTGATTGACATTGTATTGATGAATTTTCTCATTAATTTTCTCATTAACCTTCTCTCTACCAAGATTCGGGGTTGTTTCTGTTTGCTTGTGACCGACCAGGCTGACCGAACGACCGACCGACCGACAGAAGGGGGAGGGGACTCAAAAATGAGGAGATGAGAAGAAGTGTAGATAGAGAGTAGAGGCAGTATAGGCAGTATAGGCAGTATAGGCAGTATAGGCAGTATAGGCAGTATAGGCAGTATAGGCAGTATAGGCAGTATAAAGCAGAGTCAGTCCAAGATTGTTCTCGGCTGACTTGCCGCGTCTCTCAGAATCTCTGCTGATTCGGGGAGCTTTCCCCTTAAGTTGAACCCTTCCTTGTTCTTCTCGTCTCTTCCTCCACCTCCACCTTCATCTCCACCATTCACCTTCACCACCTCCTCTTCCTCTCCTCTATTCCTCCTCCTCGTCAATTAAAACAATCTCCTCCCTCTTGAAATCAACTCTATTACACCTTCATTACTCAATGCTTCTCAGTTCGACCTGAATCCCCTGGTCCGAGTGAGTGACCCTGTAACAAGGGAATCTCTCCTCCTGCTGACCACCCCTCGTGCAGCTGAGCCTCGCCCTCGATTCTCTTTGTCAGCCTTGTTCTTAAGCCCATTTCTCCCCCAAGTCAACACTCGCTTCTCTCGCTTCTCTCCATCATCAACATCTCCACCCCTGAATTATTATTGAAGCGGTCCAATCTTCTTGCTTGTTCACCAGCCTCGATTGACCTGCCTACGGCCCCGACCCCCCTCATCGTTGCTTCCCCGCATCCGTCATGGCTGCCATGGAGGAGTTGGAGATCCACAGCAAGGTAAGGGATGGATGACTGACGCGCTCGTGTCCCCCTATTCCCTTTGATCCCGAGTCGATCTTCGCCTTGCATCGGTATCTCCGCGCCGATCAGATCGTGCTGAGGCTGACCCCCAACTCTACTGCGTGCCAGTCCTACTTTGTCCGCTGGGTTGCTGTCAAGGCCTGTCACACTATCTCATGGAGCATCCAACCACATAAGAAATCGATCAACTTCGGTATCTTCAAACATCCCGGCAATTCCGCCCTCCTTGGGTCGAACACAAACCTCCCCGCGACCGCCGACACTCCCAGCTCCGAATCACCCGACCCGATCACCGCCAACACCGGCGGACGCGCCAATGGCTCCATAATTGAGCGCTTAACCGGCATTGGGCTGAAGCAGGTCCAGTGGCTTGGAAAATGTGAGGCCGAACGTATAGTCCGCGGCACCTATGATGTCCCTGCCAACGAGGGAGGTAACTACGGGCTTGTCTTCGACAATACATTCTCCAAGCAGATCTCCAAGACCGTGACCCTCGTCCTGCTCACCTACCCAACAGCTCTACCGCCACAGTCAGTCCCAGTGCCGCACGCAGCGAGTCAACCACAGCAGGGCACCGCTGATTCTGCAGCGATAACCGAGGCCGGAAAGCCCCTGCCCGCGCGCCGTCGGGGCAACAGCATGCTGCCCCCTCCGCCGCCTTCTCAACCCACTGAGATCGACTCGGCTCAAACCTATACGGGTTTGTTGCAGAAGCGAAGGCGGAAGCGCCACCAGGGATGGGCGCGCCGTTTTTTCTCGCTTGACTTCACCTCCTCTACCCTATCCTACTATCACGACCGGAACTCGTCCGCCCTGCGCGGCTCTATACCTCTCAACCTGGCCGCAGTTGCCTGCAACCAGCAGTCGCGCGAGATCTCGATCGATTCAGGTACGGAAGTCTGGCATCTTCGCGCTAGTAATGATCAAGAGTTCGCTGCCTGGAAGCGTGCTTTGGAACGGGCGTCCTCTTCCAAAAGCTCGGCCGAAGACCCCAACCACCCATCGGAGCCGCTGTTGCGGGTCCCTTCCCAGCGCGTACACGCCAACGCTGCTGATGAAAGAGATTGGGAGCAAGTTGAGAGTTTGGTTAGCAAGGTGTCCGGCACGCGTGATGCTGTCCGGCGCTTGGCTAAGGACACCGATCCAAAGTATCTAGGCCTGGACCGGCCCCGCGGCCGCTCTCCGAGCCCTCACCGTACCCCAACCGATATGAGTGGAGAAGAGCCCAATGATGGCCGAAGGCCGTTCTGGAGGCGCAAGAGCAGTGCCACCGTCCAGCCCACCGTCAAGCGCAGTACCACCATGAATTCCATGTCCTCCCAGCTGGCCATTCCGGGCGCCTTCGATTCGTCCTCGGTTCATGGCGATCGCAAGCCCGGCAGCATCGCCAGTCACCCCGACCACATGGACGAGATTCACGAGCATCTGATGGCCGTCCTACGGGACCTAGACCACGTCGTCAGCGAATTCTCCAGTCTCATCGCCGAGACCAAGCATCGCCGTCGTCAGTCTGGCCGGTCGCTGCAGTCACGGCATAGCTTTGAATCCGATATGTCGCAAGAGTTCTTCGATGCTGTGGATGACGGCCATACCTCGGCCCTACTCACCATTCAGGGTGACAACAACAGCGAGGATGAAGATTCTCGCGGCGGGAAGACCAATGGCAACGCCACCTCCTCAACACTGGCCAAGGAAGACGTCGTCGCAGACGATGCACCCTCAGACAGTGATGATGATGAAACGATTCCAGAAGAGACAAGCGATAGCCATGACCAGTCATCGCCGCTGTTCCCGGTGCGGCCCAAATCGCTAACGCCATTGCCTCTGAAACCGGTGCCGCGGCGTGAGAATATCACTGCTCCAACAGTAATGCCGCCGAGTCTGATCGGGTTCCTGCGCAAGAATGTTGGCAAGGATCTGTCCCAAATTTCCATGCCCGTATCTTCCAATGAGCCTCTTTCTCTGCTGCAGCGTGCGGCCGAGGTCCTTGAGTACTCAACGCTACTTGACAAAGCTGCCAATGTCTCTGATCCAGTGGAGCGGCTTGTATACGTTACTGCGTTTGCATTGTCGCCGTTATCAAGCAATCGTGTCCGGGAGCGCGCCATCCGTAAGCCCTTCAACCCTATGCTCGGCGAGACCTACGAGTTGGTACGTGAGGATTTGGGATTTCGATTCATCGCCGAGAAAGTCTCCCACCGACCCGTCCAGCTCGCGTACCAGGCTGACGGCCCGGAATGGAGTCTAACGCAGTCCCCCATGCCCACCCAGAAATTCTGGGGGAAATCTGCCGAGATCGTGACAGAGGGTCGCATTCGCCTCACGCTCCATACCACTGGGGAACACTACAGCTGGGCTTCGGCAACCTCGTTCCTGCGCAACATTATTGCTGGTGAGAAGTACGTCGAACCGGTCGGCGAGACCACCGTCGTCAACGAGACGACCGGCCACAAGACAGTATCAACCTTCAAAGCCGGCGGTATGTTTTCCGGGCGCAGTGAAGAAGTTAGTACCAAGACCGTTGATGCCGGCGGCCGTGACCTTGGCCTCGGATTGACAGGCACATGGACGACCTCCCTTCAGCTCACCAAAAACGGTTCGCCAACTGGCACAGCAGTCTGGGATGCGGGCGCGCTCGTCCCCAATGCCCCTAAGCACTATGGCTTGACGGCGTTCGCGGCGAGCTTGAATGAAATAACCCCGATTGAGGCGGAACAGCTTCCGGCGACGGATTCACGGCTGCGACCGGATCAGCGCGCCCTCGAGGATGGGGATGTCGACCGTGCCGAGGAGTTGAAGGTTCAACTTGAGGAAGGGCAACGCGCCCGTCGCCGTGCGATGGAGTCGGCTGGCGAGCAGTGGACGCCGCGCTGGTTTGCACAGGTGGACAATGCGCCCGAGGGCGGTGAGGTTACATGGCGATTGAAGCCCGGAAAGGAGGGCTACTGGGAAGAAAGGGCCAAGAAAGCCTGGACTGGCGTGGTGCCGGTCTTTGAGGCCTAATGCCCCGGAATCCCCGAACTTTTTGGCCTCCATACATACACGATCTAATATCTCAGTCTCTGATTCTATGAAATAGACACCTTCATACGTTGTTTCCCCACTGCGCTTACGCTGTAAATGTGCCCTTTTACAGGTTGAGCTATCTAGGGTGCTCGTACTTATTGATTCCCGGTGACTATGCTAGCTAGCTACATGTATTTTTGCAAGTCAAAGGAGACTATGCAAGGAAATAAACATAAACTAGAAGGACAATTCGCTCTGCATTTCCACCCTACGCACGGAACAAGTAACACAAGAAGCTGGGACAGGGACCTGAAGAATGCAATGAAGTAGGCACAAGAACCCGCTGGTTAGTTCATCTACCGTATATGAGGTTGTGTAAATGGCAAATCTGATCAAATCAGTCGAGAGGCAGGGCAAAGGAAAGGAATCTGAATCTTGCCAAAAGAAAGAAAAAAAAGGAAAAA